CCAGGCGATCAGAGCCAGAGCAGTCAGAAGGACAGGCCAAGCCACACAGATGGTGTGGCCCAAGCCCTGGCTGTCTGTGTCCTAAGAGGTACACACCAGGGATTCGTCAGGACAGAAAATCAAACCAGACAAATGCAGAGCTCCTGGGGCCCCAAGGCATGAAGAGCAAGCCAGAGGACAGGGACCTCCAGGCCTTAGGCAGCAGTGTGCATGTGTGTGGGCAGCTGCCTGTAGAGAGGTGTGTACACGTGTGAGCATGCACAGGTGTGCACCAATGTGTGTGTGTACAGAGGTGTGTAGGTGCCTGTGGGCATGTGTGTTTTTCAGGTATGTGCACAGGTGTGTGTGCACACAAGGTGTGTGCACTAGTATGCACGTGTGTGCAGAAGCGTGCTCATGCACAGATACATGTGTGCAGGCATGTGTGCACAGGTATGCTTCTATGCAGATTCATGTGTGCAGGTGTGTGCATAGGTATGCATGCACACCTGGAGGTATGTGTGCATGTGTGCAGAGGTGTGCTCATACACAGATTCTTGCATGCAGGTGTGTGCATTGCTGGGCATGCACACATGGAGGTGTGTGTACTGGTGTGCACATGTGCAGAGGTGTGCTCATGCACAGATTCATGCATAGAGTGTGCACTAGTGTGCATACACATGTGGAAGTGTGTGCATGTGTGTTCACCAAGGTGTGCTCATGTACAGATTCATGTGTGGTGTGTACACTAGTGTGCGTGCACACAGAAGTGTGTGTACTGGTGTGCACATGTGCAGAGGTGTGCTTGTGCACAGATTTGTGTGTACAGGTGTGTGCACTGGTGTGCATACACATGAGGTGTGTGTATGTGCATGTGCATGTGTGTGCTGAAGTGCACTTGTGTGCAGATTCACGTGTGTAGGTGTGTGCACTAGTTTGTGTGTGTAGAGGTGTGTGTGTACTGGCATTCACATGTGCAGAGGGGTGCTACAGGTGTTTGCACTGGTGTGCACACACATGGAACTGTGTGCACTGCTGTACACATGTGCAGAGGTATGCTCATGTACAGATTCATGTGTGCAGTGTGTGCACTGGTGTGTGTGCACACATGGAGGTATGTACACAGGTATGTGCACAGGCCACATGTCCTGGGCCCTGGCCCAGCACCCAGGCTGGCTATCAGGAGGATTGGTGGCACGGGCCTCACCTTCTTGCCCTCTGCCTTGCGTGCAGGTGTCCCTGATGGCAGCGTGGTGACGGAGAAGCCATTGGGGTCTTCGCAATCCCTGATCTTCGACTCTTTGATGAGGCAGTCCAACTTCCTCTTAGCAATGTTTTCCACACGCTTCCGGTTGGTGGAGGCCTGCAGGAGCCAGAGGCCGGCTAGTTGGCCTCTGTCCCCAGCCCTGCCCTCCCCGGGCTCACAGAGGCACGTGGTTTGCCTTGGGACCCACAGGCAGCCACAAGTCGGACTTGACCCCAGGCCTATCTGAGCCTTGGGGGCATGGTGCCACCCAAGGGGGCCAGTGGACACAGGGTGTCTGGTCCAGGGGCCGTGGCGTGAGGCCAGTGCACCTGCAGGCAGCACAAGCCCTGGCATCCCACTCCAGCCACCTCGCATCTAAGGAGAGGGCAAGGGTCAGGGGACAGGTTTCAGGGCAGCCTCAGGCCAGGCCAGTGCCCTTCCTGCCGGCACAGCCCAGGGTGGCCCAGGTGGATGCAGGCAGGCACCTCAAGAGCAAGGCCTGGCCTTGGGCATGCAGGCCTCCCGCGTGCCTGGCGGACTGCGCACACACTGCCATCACAGAGCATGGGCTCGCGGTCACCTTGGGCCAGACTGAGACGTGCGGGCACAGGGTGGAGAAGCCCTGTGGCCTCCACTTCACTACAGCAATTAGCTGGCAGCCAAGAACGCCACACAGTCACCTTCCCAGCCAACGGCCCCTCAGGGAAGAATCCAGCATCTGCTGCCTCAGTCTCACCCTGAGCAGCGCCCAGAGGAGAGAAGGTGCTCCCTGCAGGACCCAAGTCTGGCACTACCTGAGCCCTCGCCCACCCTCAGCCTCAGTCACAGCCCCTGGCCCCGGGGCCGGCTGCAGCGAGCACAAGGTGACAGTGCTCTGTGGAGGTGACCCCTGGTGGGAATCCGTCTCAGGCTTGGCACTGCTTAGAGGTGGAGCTGGTGCTGGTCCCAGGGTGGCAGAAAGCCAGGAGTCCTGCGTCAGAGCCCAAGCAGGTGCAGGCACGGGAGGGAATGATACCCGGGGTGGCAGGCCCCCAGTGCTGTCCCCACTTGCTGAGGGGGCTGAGAGGACTGGGCAGGAGAAATGGTCAGCACCCCAACAGTCATCTCAGAAGCAGGAGTTGACAGCGGCCCACCACCTGGGCACACAGGAGGGGTGAGTGAGAGGGAGGAGCCCGCGGGCCCTGGGGCTGAGCACATCCCGGAAGCCGGGCAGCGGGGCACGACGCCCTCCATGTCTGCCCCTGTCCCTTCTGGGACCTCCTGTCCTAACTCGCCCCAACAGCAAGGACATGCAGCGGCTCCCAGGGACGTCCCCCCAACTCACATCTCCATTGAGGAGTTTGCAGTCGTCATCAATCTCATCTGCGCTGTCCTCGTCGGACACCTCACCCTCCTCTGCATCCTCGCTGATGGTGGCCGGAAGCTTCTTCCCCTGAAGAAAAGGAGACAGGAGGGGCCCTGAGGAAGGACTGGGAGGCCAGCTCCCAGGCCCACAGGGAGCAGCCAGCGAAGGCCAGGACCTCCTCCCAGGCTGCCTCTGTAGTCTCAGGCCCTGGGACGGGGCCAGCTTGCCCAGCCCCTGCAGCAGCAGCGTGGGGACACAACACCGGAAGTGCACGTGGAGGTCCCAAGACTGGGTGGCCACCATGGGGAGATGGAGGCCAGGTCAGGGGCATGGCCCCCGCCGCGAATTTGCCCATGGATGGCACAGGCCCTAGCCACAGGTGAGATCCAGTGTGGTGTGGGTCCCAGGAAGCGCTGGGGCTCACCTTCACAAGGATCTTGCCCTTGAGCATCTGTGGAGAGGGGAGTGTGGTGGCATCCTCACTGCTCACAGATGACAGGTCCAGCTTGTCCCCAAGGATATCCATCAGATACTGGGCCATTTTCTTCTGCTGGATGACACTACAGTGGTTCTCGATGGACAGGATCACAGGGTACCTGTGGCCCCAAGGCAGAAAGAGCAGGGTGAGGCCAGGGCCTCAGAGGAGGGCTAAGCCCCACCTCTGCAGGAGCCCAGGTCCCCTGCATCATTGAATGGGGGGGGCTTCCCCCGGGAGCCCAGGATAGCTGGGGCTGCCAGCAGCTTTGGGAAGTGGCCCACCAATGGCTTTGAAAATCAACTGAGTGGGTGGGGAAAGAGCCAGGAGACTCTTATGGGCAGGTAAAGAGGCATGAGCTTCTTTCCCCGATAAGGAAAACACAAATGTGATTCAAAACTCCGGGAAAACAAAAGGAAACGTTAGAAAAAAGTTATGGTTTAAAAACGGTGTGGACTACACTGAGATGCCATGTGGAGCAGTGAATAGACTGAGAGGCAGGATCCCTTTGACCTAGATTCTGGAGGCTGTCCTCTGAACGGCCCCAGGTCCTGACACTGGCCCCATAAAGAAGGAGACATAAGCCAGGCACACACCATCTGGCAGAGCATGTTGTTACCTGCACGGTGCAGAACGGCGAGTAGCCATGGGGCTTTCCATTATCAGTTTTTCCCCTTTAGTTTTAACCATGTGCACATTTTACTGGGGGTTTTATCAAAAGGCAACCATGATTCCTGTGGAAAACGTAAGTGACACCAAGCAAGAGGACACGGGCCACAGCGAGATGAGCAAGCCCTGTGACATGGAGAGGGCAAGCAGGGCGTGGGTGCAGGCACCTGCCTCCCATTCCTCAGGCAGAGGCTGGAGCCTGAAGACCAGCGCCTGCAGGGCCTCGGACCTGCAAGAATCACCCCAGATGTGAAGCGCAGCCCTGTCCTGATGCCCACTGGCCCTGGCTTCTCCGCTGTAACGGGAGACCTGCGTGTCCCAGCCCCCGTGGGCTGCGACACCATCCCATCTGCAATTCCAGGGGCAGGGCCGCCCTACAGAGGCCAACTGCCCTTCTTCCCACAGCTCAAGATGAGCATGGGCCAGCTCTTCCAGAGGCCCTCTGCTTCTGTTTCCTAAGTCGCCCCGCCTCTCCTGTCTTCCTTCAAGCAATCAGCTCCTTCTGCACGGCTGCCTCTTTTGGCCGGGACTTGAAGGGAGCTCTTCTAATTCCAGAAACTAAATTGGATTTTCTTAAACAGTGTCGGTAGCCACAGCTGAGTGACAGCGAGGTGAGTCTGGATGCAGAGTGGCTTCTCAGGGGTAATCAGTGCAGGTGGCATGGCTGCTGTGGGCCCTGGCACTAAGGGTGGCCACCAAGTGTGTGTCACCGTGGCTGTCTCTCCTACACGCACCACCACCCCCTGCCTGGACCACAGGCCACTCCCTCCCCGCCCCTCTCCCCAGTAAGAGACCCCAAGATGAGACCAGCCCTGACCACCACACCACTGCCCTCTGGAAAAGCCAGAGCCTGGAGACACGCTCCTGCCTGCCCCTGGGGCCAGTCCCCCGCCTGGCCACTCACTCGTTCTTGACGAAGGCATATTTGTTGATGGTTTCGATGACATCTTTGAAGAGGATCTTGGAGGTCAGGGTGTAGCCATGGTGCACAATGGGCTCCCCGTCAGGCCCGTCCCAGCAGTCCACTATGGGTGGGCAGACCTCGGTCAGCCCCAGGGCTCGGCCACGTGAGCCCAGGCAGGCTGGGCACCAACCGAGGGGGCCCCTCCTCCTGCTCCGTGAGAGGTTGGGAAGAGGCCTGCCAGGCTCCTGCCCAGAGACCCCAGGGCCCTTCAGGTCTTCAGCAGAGGCCCCGCCCTGGGCCGAGGGGTGCAGGTCCCAGGCCTCACCCTCCACACAGCGGCAGCCGGCCTGCAGGACCCAGGCGTACATGTCCACACGCGACTGGGACATGAGCTGGTCGCCCATGAGGTAGGTGTTGTGGGATGAGGTGATGAAGTAGTGACTCAGCGGCCGCGTCATGTCCTGGTGCACATGGTGATGCTCAGGGTTGAAGATGTCCCCAGCAGGGCTCCGGGTATAGTTGGTGAAGCCTGCAGGGTGGGCGCGGGCGAGTCAGCCCCTGCACGGGCCCAGCTGGCCCACCACCCAGCACCACAGGCTGGCCAACGAGGCCCCACCGGCCTCCAGGTGACAGGCCCAGGGCCGGCCCACTGCCCAGAGCAACAGGCTGGTCCAGGGTACCCCATTGTCCTCCATGGTGACAGGCTCGGGGCCGGCCCTCCACCCAGAGCCACAGGCCGGCCCAGGGTGCCCCACTGGCCTCTAGGTGACAGACCCAGGGTCAGCTCACAGCCCAACACCACAGTCTGGCCCAGGATGCCCTGCTGTCCTCCAGGGTGACAGGTTCAGGGCCAGCCCAACGTCCAGCACCACAGGCTGGCCCACAGTGCCCTGCCAACCTCCAGGTGACAGGCCCAGGGTCAGCCCACCACCCAGAGCCACAGGCTGGCCCAGGATGTCCTGCGGGCCTCCAGGTGACAGGCCCAGGGCCAGCCCACTGCCCAGAGTCACAGGCCGGCCCAGGGTGCCCCACTGGCCTCTAGATGACAGACCCAGGGTCAGCTCACAGCCCAGCAACACAGGCTGGCCCAGGGTGCCCTGCTGTCCTCCAGGGTGACAGACCCAGGGCCAGCCCACCTCCCAGCACCACAGGCTGGCCCAGGGTGCCCTGCCAGTCTCCAGATGACAGACCCAGGGTCAGCTCACAGCCCAGAGCCACAGGCTGGCCCAGGGTGCCCCACTGTCCTCCAGAGTGATAGGCCAAGGGCTGGCCCACTGCCTAGCACCACAGGTTGGCCCAGGGTGCCCCACTGACCGCCTGGTGACAGACTCTGGGTCATTCATTCCACCGTCCAGCACCACAGGCTGGCCCACAGTGCCCCCCAGCCTCCAGGTGATGGGCCCAGGGGCTCCTCTCACCGTCAATGCCCAGCAGCCCCTTCCTCTTGTTCTCTGGGCATGGCTCAAACTGCTCGATGATGTTCTGGCAGCTCTCAAGGGTCACATCTGCCATCTAGGCCAAAGCAGGCATGAGCCCAGGCTGGCCCATCAGGAGCCCAGGCTGGCCCATCAGGAGCCCAGGCCGGCCCATCAGGAGCCCAGGCCGGCCCATCACAGGCCCAGGCTGGCCTCAGGCGTCTCCTCATCCTCAACCCCAGGGTCCCAGGACTTGAGACTCCGTGGCCAGCAGGACCACAAGTGGCCATGTGGCTTTCAAATCACTCTTACTGGGATTCCTCGGCAGGGAGGGTCCTGGGTGCCCAGCGGGACCACCCCCTCACTGCCACCTAAGTGGCCTGGCATGGCATGGAGGTCTGCGAGAGGGAGGCAGGAGGGTGAGGATCTGCATCCCCCTTGAGGAGCCGGGCTCCTTCCTGCATCTACCCGCGTCCTGCACGGCAACCCTCCCAGGAACACCCAGGCGACCCTGAGGGCCCGAGACCAAGGGACCCCAAGGGCCCAGTGATACAGCCGAAGCCGGGAGCCCCCGGCCCGGGGCAAGTCTGTGGCGGGACTTCCGGGAGGCCCCAGAGCATGGCGGGTGCTGGAGCGGGAGCCTAGAGCCACTGTGGGCCCAGGGAGGCACCAGCCCTGGCCCAGCCCTGCCCCACCCAGCTCCCACCTTCTGCTCCACCTCCAGAAAGCGCTGCAGGTCGGCGGCAGCCAGGTAGTCCTTGTGGTCGCTGTAGGTGAGCAGGAGTAGGTAGAGGTCTCGGCGTGTGGACATCATCTTGTAGAAGGCACAGAACTCCTCGAAGCCCAGCGTCCCCTGCTGATCATCCGTGTCCGCCTCCTGCAGCACGAGGCCTCTGTCCCCATTCACGTCCCACCCAGCACCGCATCCAGCCAAGCCCACAGCCCACTCTTCCCTCCTACTCTGCCCACATCACGGGCACTCCCAGGGCACGAGCAGCAGTGCTTGTACCACCCCGCCCGGAGTCCACACTGGAGCCCACACTGTCCACATAGAGTCTACACTGCCCATGCTGGAGTCCACACCACCTACCCTGGAGTCCCACTGGGCTGGAGGCCGGGCCTCCCAGAGGATGCGGAGGTGCCAAAGGCTGTGAGTGGGAACCCTGGGGATGGGCTCCTTGGAAGGGCCTGCCGGACACCCTTGAGCCCTAAGGACCGGGTTTGGGCCCAAAAAGGGCACAGGAGCCTGCAACCAGGTGAGCACACAAGCTGCTGAGAGGCATCAGGCACCAGTGTGACACAGCTCAGCTTGCTCTCGGGTGCCTGGCGGAGGGACACAGCTCCGGGTCTCGCACTCCTAGCAACCTCCCTGGCTCAGCCTCCCAGAAGGCTGCTGGGACCGGTGGGCAGCCTGCCACCACCTCCACCCTGCCCACCACGGATGGTGTAGTCAGAGGTGGCACAGGCTGCATCTGATGTGCCTTGAAGGCAGGCTCTGCTCTATGCGCCATCCACCTAGCCCTGGACACACAGATGTCTGGCCGGCTCATGTCCACAGACACTGGCTGTGTCCTTGGCCCACACAGCAGATCAGGGCCATCCCCCATGATGTGGGAAAAGCCCGTTGAATGTCCCAGAAATGCCTGGGCTGCCATCCCAGCAGTCATGGGCTGCCCAGAGGCCTCTTTGCAGATGAAGCCACTGTCCTCCCAGAGCCCTCAGCAGGCAGAAGAGCTGTGTGCTCAGCAGGCCGCCGTGGTCTCCAACAGAGGCTGGGAGGAGCCCAGCGTGGCAGTGGGAGCAGGCCACAACGGCTGTCTCCAACATTCAGGCCCACAGGAAAGCACCCAGATCCCTCCTCGAGCCATGGAGGCACCATAGCCCAACAGTGACAAATGCCAGGTCAACACCATGGACAGCAGCTCCCATGGCCTGCTGGTCTTGGGCCCCCTTGACTGGGCTGGTCGCCCTCCAGGGACCGTGGCAGGGCTAGGCAGGGCTGGGTAGGGCTGAGGCCCATTCCACTGTGGCTGCTCCCCATGAGCTAGCCTCTCTGCCCCCATGCTGGCCACATGTCCAGGGTGGGGCTGCTGCCTGTGTGCCACCAAGCAGGAAGGGAGCCCTCCTCCCTTTGTCCCAGGGCCCCCGCAGAGGGCAGTGCACGCGGGCTCTAGGCCAGGCGCTCGGGACTGGGCCATCTCCAGCTGGCCTGACCACCATGGGCCGTGGGCCTTGACCGCAAGGGCTGGGGTCCCAGGTCCTGGCTTCCCTCCAGAGCCTACCCTGGAGTCCACCCTGCCTGCACCCCGCTTGAGATCTCCCCTATGCTTTCTCAAGTTCTGGTTGGAGCCAGTGCAGGGCGAAGCCTGGGCTGGTCAGAGGGACCACAGGAAGGGGGCGCTGTGTACCCAGAGGTTCAGAATCCTCCCAAGAGGCGCGGACGAGCAGGGGCTTCCCAGAGCCACAACTAAGGTGCGTGTTCAAGCCGCAGCTTCCAGGAACTGCAGGCCCCAGAGCTGGGCGTGCACACCAGATGAGGGGCTCTCCCCTGCAGGAAGGCTGCTCAGACCCTGCACCCCAAGTCCTGATTGTCTGGTTCCTGGCACAGCCACACCACTGTGAAGGACCTGCTGACCCTAGGGCTGCCCCCAAGGTTGGTAGGCAGAGAAAGCGGGTATGGACATGAGTGCCCTGCCAGCTGCCACTGCCAGGGAAGACCCTGTCCCCACTGCGCCATCGGGAGGGGCCATGAACCCTGCAGTCCTCAGAGCGCCCTCCCTCACAACACACCCTGTGCTACCAGTAGGCTGTGTCCACTCACTACGAAAGGAACAGGCAACAGCCACCAGAGTCTGAACCAGACAGAACTGTCAGGCCATGAAAGTGTGTGTGTGTGTGCACGCGTGTGCACACACATGCGCGTGGGCATGCTATATGTGTTTGCAGGTGCATGCCTGCTGTGTGCATGTATGCAAGTGTGTGTATGTGTGTACCTGTGTGCATGCATACACGTGTGTAAGTGTGTGCACCTGTGCACGCAGATGTGTGTGCTCATGTGTATGTGTGTTGAAGCTGCAGGGCCTGGTGCTCAAGCTCATGGAACCTTTCTCCAGGCTGCAGCGAGGTAAGGGGACCCCAGAGTCTTGTTCCCTGGCTCAGGCCCTACCGCCCCAGTCAGGACCTGCTGACACAGAGCTCCAGAAAGAGAAACTCATTACAGGTCGGCCCCACGGAGGGATGCCTTTTCATAACGTCTCACGTCGGGGCAGCGGAAGAGGCCAGGAGGGGGCGCTGCAGCCTGCCAGGCAGGGCTCACCAGGCTGACGTGCCCCGTTAAGACTGTGGAGTTCAGGAGGGCAGGAAAGGGGGTGCAGCTTCATCCAGGCACCCACAGGAAAGGCCAGTCCACTGGCAGGGCCGGTCCCTGGGGTTCAGATCCCTTCCCCAGGCAAGGCAGGCAGCACCAGGGCCTTGCCCCCGCAGGGTCCCA